TGAGAATTACTTTCACATGCTGCATGTCCATGAATTAAACGCACACCATTCTGAAGGATAGTTATGGGAGTGGGTGGATGCCTCACACCTATTTAGGGCTTTCCTAGGAAGGCTACAACATGCTCTTGAGACAAGATATTTATCCTCTTCTGGGTTTTGGTTCTTACCATTTTGTCAAAGCCTGTAGCAGAGTTTTTTCAATCTCAGCACTACTGACATTTTGTGTCAGATAATTCTTTGTCTTGAAGATCATTTCTGTCATTGTAGGATGTTTAGTAACATCCTTGGTCTCTATCCACTAGGTGCCAGTAGCATATTTCTGGTTGTCACAACTGAAAGTATCTCTAGACATTGCCAATTATGTGCCGGGGGCAAAAGCATCTCCAGTTGAGAACTCTGGCTTATAGCATCTGTATCCTCATGCAGGGTTTGTTTTTCTTCTAGCCATTTGGACCAATCCTTAGGGCTAAGTTTTGGCTGTAGGGTCATCAGGTGGTAGCTGACATTGAATGAACCCAGGAAACAGTTTGGGTTATATGAATACATCAGGAGCAGAGCCAGAGGGGATTTTTTTCCATCGCCCAGTATCAGTGCCCACTGTTTTATACTTTGAACTATAAGAGAGGGTGATGTAGGCTTTTCTGCATGACTGGACCTCCTCCAGATTTTTACCTGTCCCTGTAGTGGTGCCAGGCCTCAAAGGTACAGGAAAGGTATGGGGGTGGAAGCTGTGGTTACTCTGGAAGGCCGTGTTCTGGGTGGAGAAATATAGCAGGTTCTTGTAAGTGAACTCTATTCTGACATTCAAGCTTAATGAAAAGAAGACACAAGCTATTAGAAGTCAGATAAAGGGAGCAATAAAAGCAGAAGACAGGAACAGAATTGATATTTGTACTGTCTTTTAAGTCAGATTTATTGAAATGTCTTACACAACAGACATCTGAATTTTATTCCTTAAAAATTAGCTCAATTCTATGAGATTTAAAAAATCCATATAGTTATATAACCAACACCACAATCAATACATAGAACAGTTCTATTACCTACAAAATTCCCCTCACATCCTTTTGTGGTCAACGTCTCCTGTTCCTAGCCCCTGACAATGTCTTATCGTTCTGTCCCTATAGTTTGTCTTTTCTTCTTTCTTATTTATTTCTTCTTAAGTGAGTTTTGTTAGTTTGTTTCTTTAAAAGAATTTGCCTATTTTTATTGATCTTGTTGGATTTATGGACATATGGTTATGCCTAATAATGCCTGGTTATTCATCTTATATCTGTAGGATATGATGTCCTTTCTTTCATGGCTGGCATTGGTAATCTGTGTTCTTTCTGTCTATCTCTCTCAGATCAGAATGGTAAGACATTTAGAAATTTTATTCATCTTTTCAAAGAACCAATTTTTGATTTCTTTTTTGTTCTCTATTGATTTTCTGTTTAACTTCTTTTATTATTTACATTAATCTCCTGCTTTTCTTGTTTTAGATTTAATTTGCTCTTCTTTGATGATATAAGCATTTGGATACTATACATTTATTTCAAAATGCTACTGGAGCTTTATTCCACACAGTTTGTTATGTTGTATTTTTATTTTTACTCAATTCAAATGCTTATTCATTTTTATCCAGAAGTGTGTTGTTTAATTTCCAAATATATGGGAATTTTCTAGGTACTGAGTGTTGATTTCTGGTTTAATTCTATTAAGGTCACAGAGCATATTTTATATGATTTGGATAATTTTATGTCTATCAAGACTTGTTTTGTGGCCCAGAATACAGTTTATATTGGTAAGTGCACACTTAGAAAGAATGTTTATTCTGCTGTTGTTGTGGGAAGTTTTTAAACAATATTAATTAGATTAAGTTTGTTGTTAGTATTGTCCAGGTCTTTTATATACTTACTGAATTTTTTGTCCTCTTATTTTATTGATTACTGAAAAAGAAATGATTTTTTTATTGAGATGTAATTGACATACAACATTATATTTCAGGTATACAACATAATGATTCAATATATGTATATGTTGGGAAGTGATCACCACAATAATTCTAATTAACATCCATCACAATGCATGGCTACAAACTCTTTCCTTGTGATGAGAACTTTAAGATCTACTCTCTTACCAGCTTATCTACTCTCTTATCAAGCATGCAGTACAGTATTATTAGCTATAGTCACCCATGCCGTACGTTACGTCCCTAGGACTTATTTATTTATTTATTTATTTTTGCGGTACGCAGGCCTCTCACTGTCGTGGCCTCTTCCGTTGTGGAGCACAGGCTCCGGATGCACAGGCTCAGTGGCCATGGCCCACGGGCCCAGCCGCTCCGCGGCATGTGGGATCCTCCCAGACCGGGGCACGAACCCATGCCCCTGCATCGGCAGGCGGACTCTCAACCACTGCGCCACCAGGGAAGCCCTAGGACTTATTTATTTTATAACTGGAAGTTTGTATCTTTTGACTGTTTCACCCTTTTTACCCACCCCCAACCCTTTGACTCTAGTGACAACCAGTCTGTTCTTTGTATCTATGAATTTGTTGTTTTTTTGGTTTGATTTTTCTTTTGGATTCCACATATAAATGAGATCATACAGTATTAAACTTATTGCATGTAGCATAATGCCATCAAGGTCCATCCATGTTGTCACAAATGGCAGGATTTCATTCTTTTTTATGGCTTAATAATATTTCATCATATATATAATGTGTATCACATTTTCCTTATTCATTCATCTATAAGTGGACAAAGGTTTTTTCCATGTCTTGGTTATTGTGAATAATGCAATGAACATGGGGGTGCAAATATATTTCTGAGTTAGTGTTTCTGTTTCCTTAAAATAAACCCCAGAAGCAGAATTATTGTATCATATGGTAGTTTTATTTTTAAAATAGTCTTTGCACATGAAATAACCTTATATATAGAAAACCCTAAAAGACTCCATGAATAACTGTTAGAACTAATAAATGAATTAAGTAAAGTTTCAGGATACAAAATCAACATACAAAACTTAGTTGCATTTCTATATGTTAAAAATGAACTATCTGAAAAATTAAGAAAACAATTTTATTTGTGATAACATCAAAAACAATAAAAGACTTATGAGTATATTTAACCAAAGAATTGAAACACCTATACACTGAAAATATAAGACAACAATGAAAGAAATTGAAGAAGATACAAATAAATGAAAAGATGTCCCAGAAAAATTAATATTCTTAAAATATCCATGCTACTGAAAGCAATCTACAAATTTTGTGCAATTCCCATCAAAATTCCAATGGCATTTTTCACAGAAAAAGAAAAAACAAATTCTAAAGTTCATATAGAACCACAGCAGAACATGAATAGCCAAAGCCATCAGCTAGAAGAACAAAGCTGGAGCATCACAACTTCCTAATTTTAAACTGTATTACAAAGCTATATTAATCAAAACAGCATGTTATTGGCATAAAACAAACACGTAGACCGATAGAATAGAATCAAGAGCCTAGAAATGAACCCGCATATATATGGTCAACTAATATTTGACAAGGGAGTCAAGACTCCTCAATGGGGACATGATAGTCTCTTTAATAAATGGTGTTGGGAAACATGCATTGGGCATATACATACACACAGAATGGAATATTGTTCAGTTATGAAAAAAAGAAGGAAATCCTATCATTTGCAGCAACGTAGACGAACTTTGAGAACATATGCTAACTGAAGTAAGTCAGACAGAGAAAGACAAATACCATATGATCTCATTTATATGTGGAATCTAAAAAAAATCCAAACTCATAGAAACCGCAGGTAGATTGGTGGTTGCAGGGAGTGAGGTTGGGGTGAATGGGTGAAGGTGGTCAAAAGGCACAAGCTTCCAGCTGTAAGATGAATAAGTTCTGGAGATCTAATATACAGCCTGGTATATATAGTTAACAGTAAGTAATTTATTGTGTAACTGAAAGTTGATAAGAGAGTAGATCTTAAAAGTTTGCACCAGGCTTCCCTGGTGGCTCAGTGGTTGAGAGTCCGCCTGCCGATGCAGGGGACATGGGTTCATGCCCCAGTCCGGGAAGATCCCACATGCCGCGGAGTGGCTGGGCCTGTGAGCCATGGCCGCTGAGCCTGTGCGTCCGGAGCCTGTGCTCCGCAACGGGAGAGGCCACAACAGTGAGAGGCCCACGTACCACAAAAAAAAAAAAAAGTTTGCACCACACACAAAAAAATTCTAACTATCTGAGGTGATGGAAGTGTTAGATAACCTTATTGTGGTAACCATTTTGTGATAAATATGTATATTAAAAAATCGGGCAAAGGACCAGAATAGACGTTTTTCCAAAGAAGTCATATAAAAGGCTAATCCGCATGTGAAAAATTGCTCAACATTACTATTCATCAGGGAAATGCAAGTCAAAACCACAGTGAGATACCATCCCACACCTGTTAGGATGGCTGTTGTCAAAAGATAAAAGAGAAGAAGTGTTGGTGAGAATGTGGAAAAAAGGGAACCCGGAGGACTGGCTTTGAAAAGGGTGTGAGAATTGTCTTTTATTGGGGTGTTGCTCTGTCCACACTCAGCTTGCTGGCGAAGTCTGGGAAATCCGATTATGCAGGTTTCCTGTGATCGGCCCTTTTGAGAGGGAGGGAGACCCCACAAGGCTGCATGGAATGAAGTCGTGCATTTTCCAAGTGGGGAAGGAGAGTAGTGTCCCCAGATGAAGGGTGGAGGGCTGCCCGGGCCAGGCAAAAACCGTAGGTAAGAAAAAATGCCCCCCACCCAACCTGGAGCTCATCCAGGCCATATAGAAAGATGGAGACCAAACCACGACCAAGTGAAAATACATCGTAGGAATTCCTAAACTAGGTTTTGTGTTTGCAAGTTTTGTTTTTTTTATTTATTGAGAACTCACTAAGAATCCCTGTGAGAACAAAGACAGAAAGAGAGGCGAGAGCAAAAGCGAGCGAGGGAGTGAGGATAAAACATCCGAACCAACGAACAGCTTAAGAAGGGCGTCAGTGCTCCCTGGGTATAGCAGGGTCGACTTCAGGCACGTGCACCGTGGGCAGACGGCATGGTCGGCCGTCCACACGTCTCCCAGCCTGGATTTCTGAGTCGATGCAGAATTCCTGGCAGGAGCCGTTCGGAACGCTCACAGACTTCCTTGAAACCGGCCCTGCCTGCACAGAGAAGAGAGTTGTGGTAGCTATTTCCTGGTGTCCCTGAATTTTTATTGAATTACATGGGAGGAGGGAGTATCTGGAAACAGTCTTGTGTGGATTTTTCATTGTTACTTGATTTCTTAAAAATCTGCTTTCACACAAAAATTTGGATTTGGGGCATTGCTGTAAAATCGGACAATATTGAGTGCATCTGAGTAACGAAAGGCTAGCCGTGGGCAGCCCTGCCCCCACACCAGGGCACACATGCCCCAGCTCTTCTGGGTCTTTCTCGATCCTTATTATCTGCTAACACCGATGACAGAGGTCAGTTTTTATGTAATATTAGTCTTCTACTGCTGGTTTTCCTAGAGTAGAAGAAACTTTTTAGAGATATCTCTCTTTCTATATGTGTGTGTGTATGTGTGTGTCTTTCAAAAGCAGAACTGAAATACAGATCTAAAGGATAATATACATCAAGGAAATTATTAGAGAGGATATGTTTCCGGGGGAAGGGAACGATATTCCTACATATGTAACATGCAAACAGTGCCCATGTCAGTATCTCTTGCATCCTGGAGCTGAGCTCACTGCCTCTCTCCCTGGCTCTGGTCTTTGAGGTTGCAATCTGCTGCAGGAATCACTGCATACATTAAGATTCTTAAAGGCTAAACAAGCATCCTTGTTAAAAGCATTGACTAGTATTTGACTTCTGTCCTAATGTATTAGTGTTCGGGGGTGGGGTCATACACAATGAGGGGCTCAGTTTCGAAAGTGGCTTGATTCTGAGCCGTCCCTGTATGTCACAAAGTGCACCTTTCCCCTGACAGCTTCTTAAGCTCTTTGCTGACATTAAGAGAGGTCTCCAAACCAACACTTCTAGATTTTCCTATTCTGGAACATAAAAGCCAATTCTTGAATAGCTTCAAGTCAGTATAGGGCATTCGTGGACATTCAACAAAAGTCCATTGAATTCAGCCGACAATCAAATGCATTAACTTGAATTTCACTCTTTACTGTTCACAAGGCAATCATTAATGGATATTTGTTAAGCATCCACTGAATGTGAGGCCCTTACTGGGAAGCAGGCATACAAAGAAAAAAAGATACGATGGCCTTCAACTTCCGAGACATCATAGGCCAGTAACCTTGGCTGCTAGATAGTCCGGGGAAGAGTCAACTAGTCCTCAAAATAGAGTACTGGCACAAGGATGAGGGAGAGGTTTCGTAAGTGAGAGCCAGAGAGAAAGCACGACTGAAAGAAAGACAAAAGAAGTATCGCAGGGGTTGAGAGCTTAAGGCACTAAGCCTTGAAGGATCTGATGGTCAGAGCAGGCTTTGGAAGGAAAATCATGGGATCACATTAGTCCTAAGTGTTAGAGGCTGTCTATTCAAGGTTTTCATCTGCGTTTTTACCTGTAACCAGAATAGTGATATTCTGCGTGTGTGAATGCAGAATATAGTGAAATATATCCACTACCCCACACTCCGCAAGGAATTTGAGAGGAATAACAGGGCTGGGATTAAGCAGACTACCGCTCCTTATATGAGGACTGTCCCCAATCACGCATCTGTCTACTTTCCTGCTCCTTTCCAACCCTTGAGACCCTGAATTCTCAGGAAAAGGTAAGACAATCCTCTTGATGTAGAGCAGCAAGTTGCTCATCCCTCCTTACATCTACATGTCCCGGAGATATACGTCTGTGCCTGTACCTGTGACCCACGTTCGCATGCAGAATGCAGGGGGTGCACTCACTGCAGTGCCATCTTGACCCCTGTGTTTAAAGTTCTACTTTAGGAGAACAGATGTTGAAAAGGAAGAGGATAGCCCGAGGTTGGCATGGAGCCTTCAGGGGCATCATCAAGGCTGGGCGGGGCAGCGGGTTGGAGGTCTCTCGGACTCAGGGCAAGCCTTTCAAGGAGACCCCCCCACCCCGACCAATCCCTCTGCCCCTATAACTTTGGCATAGCTCTTACATCAGTATCTTAGGATGCTAATTTTTGCTGAAAGTAGAGGAGTTTTGGAGACCAAGTTTTAGTAGAAAAATGCCTCATTTTTTTGTTACCTAGATCTAGAAACTGCTAGTAAATTTGCCTAAATAATTCATCTTCAGTGCTGGAACAAAGAGGGTTTCAAGCGCTTGAAACACCCTTGGCTTCATGTCATCTAACTGAGAGCTCCTGTGGAGAACTACTGAGTCAGTGGCTGCAGGACTTCTCAGGTTTCCCACGAGACCCCTGCTCAGGGCAGAGGTGATACAGATGTTGCTGTGAACACTGGACCCCTGTAAGGCCTCAGGCACCCTACTCTTACCAGAGCTTCAGTAGAGTTTGTTTTGTTACCTGGTGGGACTTGGCCCATAAAGAAGAGAATGGTAAGCCGGGGAACCGCAGTCCTTGTGGCTGCAGAGAGGAGAAAGCTTGGCTTCATTTCCAAGAGGCAGAGAAAACTTCCGTCTGCGGCTCCCTGGCACCAGCAGAATGTCTTTGGCCGGATATCAAGTGCCGTCCTGTACCTCATTAGGGTACTTGTGGACAGGAGCGTTCTATGCGCACAGAATGGCCTTTGCAAGAAGGCTGAGAATCCTTGTTTTGTTGGACGCTCAGTTCATTAGGGAGATGTGGGTGCACACTTTTGACCAGAAAACCCTGTTAAATGGGAACATAAGCTACAAACACTTTGGCTCCAGGTAAGGTGTGCGAGCGAAGAGCTATCTATATTCAGTTACAAGGAGTCAGGCTGTGTACAGACACCTGCTGGTTTAGTTAGTGACTAGACATTGTGTTAGTGAGCACTTCCCAGGCTTTGCTAGCCCTCCCCGTGATTAATCGCCCCACTCACTCCTGGTCCGAAAGCCCACAGTGCTCTGCTCAGGATATACTGACCACACGTATGTTAGTTTGCTTAACAGATGCTTACCTCCCAATAAGGCGTGAGCTCCCTGTTGTTAAGACCAGACATCGCCCCTCAGGGCTGAGGAGGAAGTTGAATCCGGTGGTCATTTACTCTCAATAGCGCATCAAGTGCATACAACACTGGCAGGGCAGTCAGATGCCTCTGAACATGAAGGCAGGGGGTCTCTAGGCCTGCTTCTCCCCGGAGGTCCAGACATCGGCAGGAGGGCCGTTCCCCTTGAATCTCAGTAGCGCCCGTTCAGACCTAGATCTGTTGGGTCGCAATCAGGAGACTCTCAATCATTACGCATAAAAACAACTGGGAAAATTGCTTCAAAATGCGGACACGTCGACCCACTCCAGGCAATGTTAGTTTGGGAGGGTGCCTACAAGGCTAGGTACGCCTTCTAATGCCTAGAAGTCTGCATTTTTAACGAATTTCCCAGGAACCAATTCTGAAATGGATTCTGGAATACTCAGTGGAAAATATCAACTTAGATCACCTCTCAGCTTCTTTCTAGCTCTTATATTAGAGTATCCTAAGTGTTCTTGTCTTAGAATAAAACTCAGGCTTGGCTTTTATGACTGACAACAACATTTTGTGTGTGCGCGCACGCGCACACCTGCCTGTGTGCAGCACAGAAAGGCGAAGCGCACACCTTAATCTGTGCAAAATTAGATTCCAATTTTATAAAAACAACTCCGGAACTGGCCAGGACGAGTAACTAAATTGACAGAGCAATGTATCTGGAAGAAGGCTGTTGCGGTAATAGACCCTAGATGAGGCTCCACACTAAAACAGTGTGAGTGACAGAGAGAGGATGGAGAATGTTTGAGAGACGAAGTGTAGGGCCACGATGACGTTTATAATGAAAGTGGGCACATGTGAGTCATCCAGTAAGTTTAACCTGAGTGCCTAAGTAAATGGTAACAGCGCTTACCTGGAAATGGTGCTGGACTGAGAGGCGCGGCGGGTGGTGACCCTCAGCCTGAGCAAGCCAGCTGCTCCGGGAGTTCTAGAACCACTTGTTGGCCTATGCCGCCCCCTGCTGGTCCAGAAACAGCTGTCACTGACACCGTCCTGTACCCCGCCTCTGAGATACACGGCAGCCAGCTGTCTGGACCCCAGGGTTCTGGAGGAAGAGCTGGCAGAGGGCATGCAGGTGTGAGGGCTGAGGTGAGGCTGGGGCTTCCGGTGGGTGTAGCTGGGGCTTGCGCTCCGACTGTGGGTCTGCGGTCCTGCGTTCCTCGCCTGCAGTTGCCGGGGTAGAACTTCTGAAATCAGTGGGTGTGGAGGGGTGGGCAGGCTCAGGACCGAAGTCCCTCTATTTCTGTCCTTTAGGACATCCCTGTGAGATTTGTCCTCTGGGGTTTGTGCCAGAGTTCCCAGGGTCACCTGTGTCCTCCTCGTCCTTGTTTTTGTATTCTCTTTTCCTGCTACATTCTGCCTTACTTTCTTTTCTCTTTGTGCAGACCTTGGACTCTGAAGCCAAAATATCCCATGAGGCCAGAAATTAGTACCTGGTCAGTCATACAGGAGAGTCTGTACTCTAATCTCCCATTACCTTAAGGTTTATTTTGATTCTCATTAATAGTGGTGGTATTATTATTATCTTTATGATGGCCCTCAATTTTTATTGTCATTGTTAGCCATTATTTATTAGTATTTTATTAGTATTTATTATTCATCATTATTTTATTAGTATTTATTAGTAACATTATTCATCTTTTTTTCTTATTATGGATGATTTTGTGGTCGATTTATAGAACATGAGGGCTTCTTGCAGCACTTAGACAAATCCGTGGGTGGTGGACAGGCATGTCGGCACCTCTGTGCCGTCCAGTTTAGTAACAGAATTTCTGGGGCCAATGAGGGGACTGAGAATGTTTCCAGAGGCGCAGGTGATCCTAGAATGCCCTAACTGCACCTCAATTTTTGGCAGTGTTGGCTTTCTGGTTCTGAGCTGAGATAGAAAATACCTGCAGGGACAGGTGGTGACACTTTCTAGAAAGGCAAGAGCAGTATTGCCCCCTAGTGGACTTAGAAAAAATGTATAGAGGATTAGTTCAAGATGGCGGAGTAGAAGGATATGCGCTCACTCCCTCGTGCAAGAGCACCAGAATCACAACTACCTGCTGAACAGTCATCAACAGGAAGACACTGGAACTCACCAAAAATGATACCCCACATCCAAAGACAAAGGAGAAGCCACAATGAGACAGTAGGAGGGGCACACTCACAGTAAAATCAAATCCCATAACTGCTGGGTGGGTGACTCACAAACTGGAGAACACTTATACCACAGAAGTCCACCCACTGGAGTGAAGTTCACTGAAGTGAGCCCCACGTCAGGTTTCCCAACTTGGGGGTCTGGCAACGGGAGGAGGAATTCCCAGAGAATCAGACTTTGAAGGCTAGTGGGATTTGATTGCAGGACTTCGACAGGACTGGGGAAAACAGAGACTCCACTCTTGGAGGGCACACACAAAGTAGTGTGCACATCGGGACCCAGGGAAAGGAGCAGTGACCCCATAGGAAACTGAACCAGACCTACCTGCTAGTGTTGGAGGGTCTCCTGCAGAGGCAGGGGGCCGCTGTGGCTCACCAAGGGACAAGGACACTGGCAGCAGAAGTTCTGGGAAGTACTCCTTGGTGTGAGCCCTCCCGGAGTCCACCATTAGCTGCACCAAAGAGCCTGTAGTCTCCAGAGCTGGGTGGCCTCAGGCCAAACAACCAACAGGGAGGGAACTCAGCCCCACCCATCAACAGACAAGCAGATTCAAGTTCTACTGAGCTCCGCCCACCAGAGCAACACCCAGCTCTACCCACCACTAGTCCCTCCCATCAGGAAGCTTGCACAAGCCTCTTAGATAGCCTCATCCACCAGAGGGCAGACAGCAGAAGCAAGAAGAACTACCATCCAGCAGCCTGTGGAACAAAAACCACATTCATAGAAAGACAGACAAAATGAAAAGGCAGAGGACTATGTACCAGATGAAGGAACAAGATAAAACCCCAGAAAAACAACTAAATGAAGTGGAGATAGGCAACATTCCAGAAAAAGAATTCAGAATAATGATGGTGAAGATGATCCTGGACCTTGGAAAAAGAATGGAGGCAAAGATTGAGAAGATGCAAGAAATGATTAACAAAGACCTAGAAGAATTAAAGAACAAACAAACAGAGATGAACAATACAATAACTGGAATGAAAAATATACAAGAAGGAATCAATAGCAGAATAACTGAGGCAGAAGAACAGATAAGTGACTTGGAAGACAGAATGGTGGAATTCACTGCCACAGAACAGAATAAAGAAAAAAGAATGAAAAGAAATGAAGACAGCCTAAGAGACTTCTGGGACAACATTAAACACACCAACATTCGCATTATAGGGGTCCCAGAAGGAGAAGAAAGAGAGAAAGGATCCGAGAAAATATTTGACAAAATTATAGTCGAAAAATTCCCTAACATGGGAAGGGAAATAGCCACCCAAGTCCAGGAAGCACAGAGAGTCTCAGGCAGGATAAACCCAAGGAGAAACACACTGAGACACATAGTAATCAAACTGACAGAAATTAAAGACAAAGAAAAATTATTAAAAGCAACAAGGGAAAAACGACAGATAACATACAAGGGAACTCCCATAAGGTTAACAGCTGATTTCTCAGCAGAAACTCTACAGTCCAGAAGGGAGTGGCATGATATACTTAAAGTGATGAAAGGGAAGAACCTACAACCAAGATTTCTCTACCCCGCAAGGATCTCATTCAGAATTGACGGAGAAATCAAAAGCTTTACAGACAAGCAAAAGCTAAGAGAATTCACCATCACCAAACCAGCTCTACAACTGATGCTAAAGGACCTTCTCTAAGTGGGAAACACAAGAGGAGAAAAGGGCCCACAAAAACAAACCCAAAACAATTAAGAAAATGGTCATAGGAACATACGTACCAATAGTTACCTTAAACATGAATGGATTAAATGCTCCAGCCAGAAGTCACAGGCTCACTGAACAGATACAAAAACAAGACCCATGTATATGCTGTGTACAAGAGACCCACTTCAGATCTAGGGACACATACAGACTGAAAGTGAGGGGATGGAAAAAGATATTCCATGCAAATGGGAATCAGAAGAAAGCTGGAGGTTCAACACTCATATCAGATAAAATAGACTTTAAAATAAGGACTATTGCAAGAGACAAGGAAGGACACTACATAATGATCAAGGGATCAATCCAAGGAGACTGCTAACAGCTATAAAAGAGGAAATCGACAGTAACACAATAGTAGTGGGGGACTTTAACACCTCACTTATACCAACGGACAGATCATCCAGACAGAAAACTAATAAGGAAACACAAGCTTTAAATGACGCAATAGACCAGATAGATTTAATTGATATTTATAGGACATTCCATCAGAAAACAGCAGATTACACTTTCTTCTCCATACTATGCCATCTGTATCTCCTCATCCCCTTAAGGCAATGTGTGTTCTACTGTCCATCTCTTTGGAGTTATGATTTTTCATCATGGTAAAATGTACATAAACTTACCATTTTAATCATTTATGGTCATACAGTTCAGAGACATCAAGTACATTTACATTGTTGTGCAGCCATCACCACCATTCGTCTCCAGAACGTTTTTCAGCTTCTCCAGGCAAAGAAGACAAGAATGCACATCCACAGTCAGCGTTCAGACATCAGACCTGAAGCCCCCAGCACTGCCCAAACCTCGCCTGCTGTCGGTCCTTCTCATTCTGGACACCTTGAAGTCCAGGCCCCTCCATTTGCACCTACACTGTCCAAGGTCATCATCTGTATGCTTCCTGACCAGCAAGGGCAAAAGGGACTGGCAGCACCAGTTTCCCAGTTGCCAGGTGGACTGAAAACTTTCTGCAGTTGCTTGGGCGAGCGAACCACATTCTCCATGCCTTCAGTGTTGGCATCGGCCTTTCCTGGGCACCCGTGGGAACTGAGAACATTCTAGAGGCTCGGGGGGGATAAGATGACCTCTGTGCACCTCCGTTTCCAGCTATGGTGGTTCCTGGGTTCCTGATCTGAGAAGAAAATTCTGAAGATGCTGGGGGCAGGGATGCCACCTCCAGCCTCTCAAGGAGGGCAAGAGTGGTTCCTGGGCCCCCAGAGTAACCTTGACAATGCGGCTATGGTGGGCAAGCATACCCTCTCTGACTTCCTGGGAGACAGAGCTGTTTCTGGGCCCTCAAGAGGACTTGTCAGTTGTCCTATAGGCTCAGGTGGCCCATGGACATGCTCTTTGAAGCTCCCCTTCCAGTCTGGGCTGCTCACCGTTCCCTGAGGGGAACGTGCAGGATTTCATGAGCCTCGTCCAGCCAACAGGTGCCGGCAGTAAAGCTGTTGACAAAGGGCTGCTGTGTGTGTCTGTGGGGAGAACCTTCAGGAATCATCTTCAGCAAATCCAAAACACTTTTGAATAGAGCAGTATGCAAAAGACCTCTATAATAAGTAGTGTAATAATAAAAATGATAATGATGATAGTGATGATGATGTTAATGATATTAATGCTACGATGGCTGTTAACAATAATAATAATCAACTTAAGGAAATGGAGATTAGGAAACAGGTTCCCCCAAGTGATTGACAAGGATTTACATTGTCACAGTTTAAGTGACCAACATAGGTAGACTAATGTATTTCTAATTACCCTCGTGATCATTATATTGATGAGTTAAAATAGAGGAGGAGCAAAAGTGTAGAAACAAAACCACAGGACGATAATCTTTTTGTTCAGTATTTTTTGGCCCTCCGTAAATACTGGCATTTGAGAAGGGAGTTCTGTCTACATAAAGTGTGAGCATTGTACAGAAAATTTTCTTCCACATAATGGAAAACTTAATGTAAATGACACTGTTAATTCACTGTTAATTCAGGTAAATGACACTGTTAATTCACTGTTAATTCACTCCATTGCAAGGTGGATACATTCATGAACGACTTCCTTCTGAATTCTAAACCATCAAGGGAATCTGTTGGGAAAGATTGCCAAGGATATTCAGGGAATTAAGAAAGTGATCAAAAGTTTGCTTTTCATTTAAGAAGTGTCCCAAATGGCAGAAATCTCTTTGTTAAGTACAAACCATAATACATTAAGAATATTAGTACTTTGAAAATGTGCATGCCTAAAGGTACTTATAAACACACACACACACACACACCCCACTTGTTCCCGCGGTCTTCCTTTTATTTCTTTTGGAGGGGCTAAGCAAAATGTATCCTCATTACCCGAACGCTGTTTTCCTCTCTCAGCATATTTATGCATGATGCTGACAAGTAAACATATTTTAGGTCGTCTACAAATAGACCCTTCTGACCCTTATCTGGACAGCACCCTGGATATCATGGCAGCTCAGAGTGTGAACCACGCTTTGAGAGAGTTGGAGAAGCCCAAAAAGCTGGATGGGGAAGATGCACATCATTGTAGTGTTTGTCTCAAGAAGGTGCTCGCCACCAAGAGGTTGACTTTGCACAGCACCCCAAGGTCCTGATCCTTGTGCTGAAGCAGTTCTTTGGATTTCACAGGTGACAAAATGGATAAGAAAGTTCTGTATCCCGGGTGCTTCGACTTGCAACCATACATGTCGGAGCAGAAGGCAGGACCACTGCATTATGTGTTCTATGCGGTGCTGGTGCCCTCTGGGGGCAGTTGTCACCGACAACCCTACTTCTGTTACGTCAAAGCTGGGGACGGCCAGTGGTATAAAATGGACGATACCAAGGTCAACGCCTGTGACGTGGCTTCTGCCCTGAGCCAAAGTGCCTATGTCCTCTTTTACGTCCAGAAGACCTCATTGGAAGGAGACCGTGGGGGACCGTCACCGGGAGGGGCACCGACATCCCTGGGGCTGACCCCGCAGGCATGGATGCAGCCCACGGGGAACCTGGAAGAGACGCCAGCGTCAGAGTTCCTGGGAACACCTGGAGGAAACAGATGTTCAAGAAATCACCTTAGAGCAGTGGAGATGCTGCCGAGAACACAACCGACCTCAGCCTGAACCCAACCTCAGGAAGATCGAGTCTCCCCTGCCTGCCCATGCTGTCGTGATTCACCCGTTGAAATATGGAGATGGGATGAAAATGAAACTTCCTGAACAGGAAAACTGCCGGCTCAACAATCCAACCAGAGGCACCCCGCCTCAGGGACAAGTAAACATCGGCCACATCCCTTGTCTCAGAGGGAAGGACTTCCAAGAAGAAGAATGAGAAGAAGCTGAGGTCTCTGGATGCACTGCAGTAAGCTCTGCTGCACATCTGCAAACACACACGCCCAACACCCACAGTCACACACACACAAACCCAGTCGTGTATAGGAAATCGTGTTGCAGGTGTGAATAATCTAGTCTCGTGAAACGACTGCATGTCTGCAGTGTTCACAGGACGCGACATTCAGTGGCAACTTGTGCCTCCTTCTCAGGAGTGTGGTGTACGCCGCGAAGCTACTGGAGCAGGTGGGGTTGATTTCTGGGTCTGAGGACTTTCCACTTGTTCTGCGTTTGAAGACTCATTTGTTGACGGGGTGCAGGATGTCTGAAGTTTTGCACTATGGAATTCTTATGAATCGTTGAATGACTTTCCAGTATTGCACTTGGAGTGCATTAGTCAGAGATGGAGAATGGTATTTATCAGCGCCAATTTTTCTAGGGGATTCGGTGTTGCACATACTTGGCAGTTGTCAAAAGAAGTCCAGTGGTGTGGACATACTTACTTACTCTGAATATTTGGGGTCGAGTATGGATAATGAGCTGTGTGGCATCACCTGGGTAGATGGAAGGTACGCCACCATCTCAAAAGTGACAACACGTGTTTCTATTGAGCCCCAGATCAATGCTGTCTCACTAAACCCATCCTGTGTCCTGAAACCCTGTCCCCTGTATTTGCAGGTCCAAGAAAACCGAGCCCATCCCTAACAATTCCAATCCCAGATGGCTACAATGACAGACTCCTCTTCTTTAATCCTGTGATGTTCAGAGGATTCCATAAAATAGAGCATGTGTCAGGGCCTATTCAGACGCTTTGAAATGCCAGAAGTAAGGATCAGTGGTGTTTTGTTTTGTGAGAATCTGTAAGGAAGTGCTGGGACAGGACTGAGGTCATGAGATAAGGGAATATAAGGAATAAGGTCAGACCCGGATCACAAAGAGAAAGGTCATTCCAGAAGTTCCCGTAGGTGTGGGCACAGCCCCGAGTGTGCCAGCTCTGCTTTCCCGATATTTTAACAACCTTGTGCCTTCAACCAGCAGCTGCCCTTGACGTACAGGCTTCTACGGAGTGAAGATGCTCTCCCCAAACAGTTGTTCTGTGTGGAACATGGTTTGCTCTTCCCGGGAAGCCCTCTCTACACAGCTCGGTGAAATAAGATAGAGAGTATGATCGTGGAAGGAACTCTTCATCCACTTAGATCAATTCAGAGGTTTGGGGACAAAATAACAAAGAGATTTCTGAGGTCTGGGAGGGCACACATGCCTGTCTCTCTAGTCCCAGGTGGTTTCCATCTGCAGACATAGGTTGAGGGGCCTCAAAAAGTGTAGGACTAGATAGATGTCTTTGAGACTTCCCCATGACCTTGCCTGACCAGGGTCGTGACATTCTGGGAAACATGACCAGTGGAGCTGAAGATCAGAGCTGTGTCACCACCAGGGCCTGAAAGGGTAGATGGGGTTGAGGGACGTTGGAAGAAGTGGAGCTGAGTTGTGTGGAAAGAGCTGTGGAGAAAGGGGACACTCAGAGAGTGGGGCTGAGTCTCTGCCCACTTTCTGAGGGTGCAGACCTGAATCCCTGTGTTTACAGGGGCATAAAGAAAACCAGACACCAACACTTAGCTCCTTTAGCCACAGACTTTATTGTTTGAATATTTGCAACTATTATTCTATACACAAATTTTAATTTCTTCCAAACTCTACATTCTATATTGCTAGATCACTTTACTCTCCTTTTTATGCCACATTTTCATGAAGAGGTATTTCCACAAATCACAATTTGCCTGACCGTATGTTAAAGGATTCTTTTAGAGGCTCCTTCTTCCACATACTCAAGTCATTTTTTTCTGATATAAAATCTAGCTATAGCTCCATTTTCATTTTTAGGATTGCTGCATCCTCAATGCGAGAATTTAATGTTGACTAAGAAATAAGTGACCACTGAAAATTTCCCTTCCTTCAGAACACTGAAGGTGTGATGTACAGTCTGAGCACACATGTACCAGAGAGGTTTCTCTATGAATAAAGAATTTCTCATGACCTTACATTGAATAACTTCTCCAGTATGAATTATTTATAAGTATGCTCTGGTGTTGCTCAGCAAACTTTCGTATTTCTCAAGTCTTCATCTTTGTTCTTGACTTAGTGTTTATTCTTTCACCGAGTTTCTTGTGCACATCAAGCCTGGTGCTTGGCTGATGTTTATTTACAGTTATTATAGTCTTAGTGGTTCTCCACTGGGAGTTGGCTCATGTTGACCATAATTATCAAAGGATAACTAGGGGTTGGTTATCCTCTGCTCAAGCCCTCTGGGACAGGGGTCCCCAACCCCCAGACCATGGACCAGTACTGGTCTGTGGCCTGTTAGGAACTAGGCCGCACAGCAGGAGGTGAGCGGCGGGCAAGCAAGCAAAGGTTCATCTGCTGCCCCCCATAGCTTGCATCACCACCTGAACCATCCCCGTGGCCCCCCATCCGTGGAAAAATTGTCTTCCACGAAAGTGGTTCCTGGTGCCAGAAAGGCTGGGGACCACTGCTCTAGGGTCTTTAGAGTTGGGAGCTGTTGCTAAAAACACCCATACTGTATTTACAGAGTGAGTTCTGCTAAGTTACCTGAGGTCAGGCCAATGACTAAAGGCTTTGCCACAGAGACAGGGCACATATGGATCCACATCCACAGGTGATGCCTGTCTGGACTGAGGAGTGTGATGCCTGAACAAGTGTCCATATTGATTACAGACAGAGTTTCTTTAGTGGGTGTGAACCTTGGTGTGGTTAAATGCTAAAGCTATGCTGGTGTTCCATCCACATTCCTCACATGTATGACGCCATGTCATCTCAGGTCAGAACGTCTACTGAGGGCCCTCCTGACTTTCTCTCCAGTGCTGAATTCCCTCATGTCGTCTAAGGGAAGAGTCGTGACTGAAGCATTTCCCACACCACTGACATTCATGGGGCTGCTCTCCAGTGTGGGTTCTCTCATGTCTTCTCAGGTTTGTACATTGACTGAAAGCATTCCCACACTGCTGACATTTATAGGGTTTCTCTCCTGTGTGGGTCCTTTTGTGCCGAGTCAATTCAGAACTGTGACTGAAGGCCTTCCCACACAGAAGACATATGTGTGGTTTCTCTCCAGTGTGGATTCTCTTGTGCTGACTAAGTCCAGAGCTCTGACTAAAGGCTTTCCCACACTGATGACATTCATAGTGCTTCTCTCTGGAATGGATTTTCTTATGTTTTCTAAGGTAAGAGATTTGATTAAAAGTTTTCTCACATAGATGGCATTTATATGGCTTCTCTCCTGTGTGAATTTTCTCATGTTCTTTCAGGTAGGAACTTTGACTGAAGACTTTCCCACACACATGACATTTATATGGTTTCTCTCCAGTGTGGATCCGCTTGTGATTTCTAAGGTTAGAACTTTGAAAAAAGCCACTTCCACAGAGATGACATTTATATGGTTTCTCTCCAGTATGAATCATCTTGTGTCGTCTGAGGCTAGAGGAATTACTAAAGGCTTTCCCACAGAAAGGACATTCACATGATTTACCTCTAGTGTGAATGTGACCCTGTCCGTCAAGGAATGACCCTTGACTAAGTGAATTTCCACACTGTTTGATGACATTACGTTTCCTCCTTAAGTGAATTGATAAATGTTTAGGTGAAGATCTAGGAGTAAATTCATCACTCAAATCAGTCCATCCAACAGGATCCCGTTGCGTGTAAGAAACCTGTTATGGGAAGGAGATATGAGGCTGTTACTGGTTCACCCACATCCATGCAGACACTCATGCCTCTACATTTACACCCTAGAGCATCAGTTGTTAATAGTCTCCTGTTAAAATGTTTCCAGTGTCAGTTGCATACACATGTTGTGTTACTCCCCTGCAGGCACAAACATTCTCTTTTATTGTTTCCCAACCCAGATATCAGATTAATTTTGAAGATTTCAGTGTGTTTTAGAGACTATGAGATGAGCAATGTTAGTGCAACTGACTTTTTTTCTTCGGTTTCATGCTGCGGTTTTGAGCTCATATTAATTTCTTAACTGATTTTAACCTATCCAAAACTTTTCCCAGAAAGAGCTCAATCTCAGCTTAATTACATACCAGCAATTGTGCTCAATTACCAACTTACCTCACTGCCAGGTCCTTCATTTGGATGACTGGTGTTCCACCCATGAAACTTACCATTGGCATGGTGGCAGATATGTGCTTCCTGTAGACACTTTGCATGAATATCATTTCTTGTAGTCTAAGCGGACTTTCACCATCTAAAGAAATGGAAAAAATATAGATTTTAGAATGGCATTAGGGAAATAGAAGTGTAAACAAACACCAAGGTCCATGTGAGTATCTTTCAAAAGTTGGCACTTAGTTGGAGAAACAATGTATAATAAAGAAGTACTCAAGGTAGTAGAAATATTTTAAAAGTCATTGTCTATTAGAAAAAAACAGGATTAAAATATAAAAATGTAATGTGGTGGAAAGACATTGGGTCAGCAAATGATGGAAAACACATTAAATGGGGCGATCAGGACAAGAATCACTATGTGAAAGTTTAACTGCAGTGAGTCCACAAGCACCCTTTTCCCTAAAGAATAGAAAATGAAGAATTTTGAAGAATTTCAAAACATGAAGAATTTCAGCCCAATGTCCTCACTTCCAGTTTAGAACATATCGCTCACATCATAAAACTTTCATTTGGTGTTTCCAAGGACTTAACACACTGAAACTCTTTTTCAGTGAAGCACAGGCCCCTGATTCTTACCTGGACTCTGGCCTTGGAGGCATCCTGTTGCTTCACTCCACAGCTCTTTTCCTTGTTCGAGCTGGGAAATCACATCTGATTTGCTGATCTGATACCCTGTTTGATATGAAAAAGAAAAAAAGTGTTGGATTTTGAGTCTGGGCTAATTACCCTTTGCTGTGCTCAAGTCCAGGGTAAGGGAAAGAGGAAAATACAGAGATAATTGAAGGTCAGTGCAGGCAACAACATCTTCAACAGACAGAACAGTGAAGGTCCTTCAGCAGACCAGGAGGAAATCCAGAGCAGCAGCAAACACAGTGAGACCCCCTAGCGGCTGATGCCTGTGCACAAGTTCAAAGAGAGATTACAGAATCCTCAGTGTTTTCCAAATGGGAAAGATTGAAAGACTCTACAGTGGGCTGAATATTACTTTCAAACAGGAGCCAGTAAGGATACGCCTTACAGGAATCATCAAAATTATGTCATATACACGACTCTGGTCTCAAGCCTTCATGGAGTGACTAGAACAGAAGAATCATTTTAAAAATATTTGATCCATTTACTTATGCATTAAAATATCCATTGAATCCCCAGTTCTGTTCTGAGTGTAAACACTGAGTAGCCACAGAGATATGAAATGTGGCCAAGATTACTTTCCAGTGCAGTAATGAAAAGTGCCGTGAAAAGAAACGTCTTCGTTTTAAGTAGTTATGAGGACTATCAAAGAAGCAGGAAGGACTTGGAGTGGGACACGGGGAAGCTGATCTAAATGCCTGTTCGGTGAGTGAATGAATGCAGTGAACACACGTGCACGTACATCCGTGTTGACAGACTCACCTACGGAGACCAGGTGGGTGATATTTTCCAGCATCACGTTTCTGAACAGGGTTTTCTGGGATGTGTCCAGCAGGGCCCACTCTTCCTGGGTGAAGTTGATCGCTACATCTTCAAACGTCACTGATTCCTAAAACATCGGGGATGTTCTGGTTTAGACAGAGCAGTCCCTACCACTGTCCAGGGTGGGAGGGTTGAGATGAGGAGGTGATGGGATCTGGGTGGATAAAGGATCACGCTCTGTGTGGGGTTCCCCTTGGTTCTCTGCCAGCGCTGAGCTTGTGTCTGCCTTTCAGGTACATTCACAGAAACCTACACACTCTGACATCATGAAGCTTTATTTCACAGAAATATCACTTGAAGTGTGTTATAATACAACAGTGAAGTTTTTCAATAACCTGGAAATTAGGACTTCCAGACAGTTGATAATAAAAGATTCACTTGCATATTCATAACTCAATCTCTCTTCCCTATTAATTTCAAGGAACTCTACAGATTCATGACAAGACAAACAATAACCATGATGGGCTACCTTGAAAACATGACTATTGGTTTAAATTATGTCACTAGAGGAACCTCTGACTCTCCAGATAGAAACTGCTTTCATTACTTCTTATGAGTGTTGAATCATCCAATATATTATTGTATGAGGGGTTTGCTGTCTAGCAAACCTGGGTTAAATACAAAACATTATTCTGCTAATCATGCCAATGTCACAGAACCATGAAGGGATCCTTCATGTTCCTCAGAACTGAGCATGGTTCATACAGAACTTGGTACCAGTAGGTGCTCTCTTTCTCAACACTACAGGTCGCAGGTGTTCATAACAAACTGTGAGGTCAGATGGTTCAGAAGCATAAGCCAGGGACTCAGGTGGCTGGAGTGAAGGACAGACCTAGCCTGACCATCGCTGCGCAGCATAAGGATTCCCATTCTTGACCTTCTCAGGGACCTTGACCTTAGTTATCACTGTTTCTCTTGTAATCTAGTCTCATCTCCATGCTGAGGGATGAAAGAAGCCTAGTGATTGGTTTTTCTCCAATTTTTCAAAAATCTATTAGAGAACCTAATTTTATTCTACCTACTGTACTGTTTCTCCTTTCTGTGCAGCACAGTTAAGAAAATACTCCTCCCTACACATTCCTCCCAGTTATCGAATATGAATAAAAGCTTAATTACTAAGAGGTGGAAGGTGTGAATGAGGGAACGATTGCTAATGGCACTTGGGGTGTAGCTTCAGGAGAAGGAGGCGTCGCTACTCACCAGAGGCTCCATTGTCAACAACTCAGTCGCCAGGAGTCTTTCTCGGGATTTCACTCACAGCCAATCCAAGCACTGAGCACGCAAATCTGAGGATGGAGAAGAAGCCATGAGACTCCAGTCCTATGCACAACTTCCAGACCCACCTGAAATGGAGCCCCGCACCTCCACCTGGCTGTGACCCCAGCCCAGCAAACGGAAACCAGTGGTGCATCCTAAGAACACGGTGCAGTCTCTTCTCTCCCAGATCCCATGTAAGAAGCTAGAGCTGTGGTTGCTAAGACAGAAAGTCAAAGTTCAGAGAGCTTGCAAATAAGAATGTGCTAAGCATTGACTTTGTGTGTTCAGCAGCCTAGGGCATCCAGAAGCATTCAGTGTCCTCCTTGATTCAAACCCTCGGGAACCCTGACTCATGCTGGAGTAGAGTTTGGTTTCCTCCTGTAGGAAACACTGGAAATCCGCAGATCCTTCTCTTCCCTTATGCACCCACAGTGGTCCTCCAACACCCCTGGCAGCCCGCTGGAACCTCACTGCCTTCCAGCTCTCCCTCAACCCTGACTTTTAGTTCTGTCCCCCATCTACGTGGATATTAATCAGCCGAGGACCTATTTCAGGATGCAGTTAAACCAAGGGCTTATTCCACTTGGAGGAACCGTGGCACCCACCCTTCCGGTCTCGTCCTTAACATCCGCTGCTCCAGAAGGAAGCAGGTGTACACGAGTCAGTGTTCCGGTCGTGGACTGTCTCAACCCTCTGTGTCAAGGTTGCTCAGAAATATAAAATGACTGAGGTTTTGGAGGAAATTGGTTTATTTACCAATTTACAAGTGACACACAAAGGTTCCAAAAACTTGAGTATATGACAGAGTTACACATCTAGAAGAAGGATCAGCTGTCATTTAATTTTGCTCAGCCTGTGTCCTGTGCTCAAATTCCTTTAGGGTAACAAAGATCATCTAGATTTTACCTGTAATACGACCTCTAATATTAGTCATCAGAAGAAGCTCCCTGTTATTTCTCTCTTCATGTTTATCACCCAGATATAGGGGAAACCTCTCCATATAGCCACACTCAATCCCCTCATTACATCCTATCTTGAAACAGAAATCTCTTCTAAAGATATTTGCTCTCAAGTTCCTTCTCTCCTGTCCTCCCTCCACAATCAAAGTGAAAGTGCATTTTTCTATCGAAAAAAAGAGAAGCCCTGGATTAATGCCAGCATCTGCTAACTGTGGATAAACACATTCAAGAAAAAGCGTTTAGTGACTGTATTATCCACAGCACCTAGGAAAATCCAAGGTGGGAGGGACTATCTAGGAAAACCAATCAAGACTTGGCCATGGGTTATACCTTTGGTTTTGACTTCAAGACAAATTTCAGAGGGAAATGAAACTTTCTCTTTCACTCTTAGAATATTTCTTCTATTGATAATAGGAATACGTAAATCCCTATGATATCCAGGGAAACCCCAGGCATATGCAAAAGAGCCGCCTTGCATCTAGAAGGTGGAACCTAGGCGACCCTGGCCATGTCCAGATTACAAGTTATAGGAATCAAAGGAGGTTAACATCTATTAATTTAGGGGAAGAATTAAATATCTCAAGAGATTTATTTTACCTTGAGATAATTATTTCAACATAAAAATCTATCCCAAGACACATAAGAAATGAAATGAAAATCACTTGATGAAACCCATAAAAGGAAATTAATTCAGAGAAGCAGAAAATGAAGTATTTAGAAACAAATTAGTAAAAAATATCAGATGTAGATCAACAGCCAATAGAACTTTCCAAGATGAAGAACATGCTCTACATATGCAATGTATGATACAGAAACTGCCACACACATGTGGTGACAGAACACTTGAAATCTGGCTGGCACTACCAAGAATATGAAGTTTAGCTATTTAATTTCATTAATTTAAATGTTCATGCAGCTGGTCGTCACTGTATTGGGAGAGCACAAGTTTAGGATCTTAGGTTAGGCAGATAAAATAACTAAATAGATTCAAGACAACTGTGTTGGAGTGGGAAAAAGGGACATGTACAGTCAAGAGTAGGAAATGATGGTGGCAAAATACATGTTGACACAATATGATTCAGAGACCACAAGAAACTACTTTGATAGGACAATTGTCTAGAGACAGATAGGACTTAACAACATTTTCATGGGATGAAACAAACTCACATCTTACAGTTTATAGGACTCACCAAAACCCCAGTTGCAGGAGCTGGTGAAGCCAAATAGATTCTGAGCTAAGTTCCACAGCAAGCAGCCAATTTCTCTTCCTCCAAAGCCCCAAACTGTCCAGCTTCTTCTTCTCTGGACAAATGCATCCCTTTGCCTGTCTGACTTTCCTTTAAACCTGGATAACAGTTTATAACCCAATCTGGGCTACATTCCAGGATCCACCCTCTCAGAAGGTTACCGACCCTAATAGGTTTCAGTCTGTGAGCCACACCCTGTTCAATTTGATTGGATTTTCCAGACTAATAGGAAATTGTAATCCTCACACAGTGTTGGAGAGCAAAGATGTAAGGTCATGTCCAGGGATAGTGAGAAGATCCATTCATTCCCTTCTTCATCCGTAAACACTGTCGAGTGCATTCTCTATACTGGGAACCATTCTATGTCTTCAGAATAACAGGGCATCAGACACACTGGGAATCTGTGGAAATGAAGCTGGGATTCCCTGGGAGAAATACAGAATTAAAAATAAAATGCAAGATGAGGAACTGTGAAAACGTGAAATATAAATAATGAGGTGGCAAAAGAAGATATATTGCTGGGATGCAGAACATGACTCTTAAGGCACTGGCCACATAGTACTTTGAAGAACTTGTTAAGAATCTATTAACTATGCAAAGAAAAAGGGAAGACAATTTTATACTTTAGTTCTTGGTTAGTGAGGAAATCCATACAAATGTTCCTGCATAGTAAACTACTGTAAATAATTTTCCTTCCATGTCATTCGGAATCTATTTATACATTTTAGTGGAAATCTTACGGTTGTGGAGATGGCTGTTTAAGCTTAAAATTCCTGGTTCCTAAATGGAAAAATTAAACCAGGGGACATGGTGAGTATTTCATTGTATCTGAGGACATTTTGCTTGTATCATACAATGCCTGGCAATCCTATTATCTCATGTATTTCAATTCCATCTCCCATACACATTAAAGAGTATTTCACCTGAAACAAATATATTAAGGTAAATGAGCTATACTTCAATTTTTTAAAAAAAATATTTTAAACCTTCGCCATTACCCCTCAATCTCCAAGGACTCATCCTTTTCTCTTACAGTCATCAGATTATGTGTAACCTATTTCCCAAATGAAACTGATATTTTGGATGTAGATACTGTCCACCACAAGATTTAAAGTACTCTGTTACTGTCATTCACTACTTATGCCATCTTCCACCTAAAAGGAAGGGAATTGCCTTTCCTCTCAGCTCGGAAATTTACTTCTACATTCGTGTTCTTTCCTATTCTCTCCTGCCACGTCAGAATGTATGTTATAATTTAAATTGAATTCACTTTATTTTTCACATTGGTTGATTTAAAATATTATAATAGTTTCTGTAAGGTCGGATCTTAACAAACGGCACCGCGAAACAGAGGAAAGCTTCAAGTGAGCTTTATTAGGGAGTGCTCCCGGGCGAGGTTCACTGGTCCGAGAGAAAGGGGCCAGAGAAGTCGCACCCGGGCGAGGGTTGGGCAAGATTTTATAGGGAAGGAAGGGAAAGGGGTGTGGTGAATCTGGGAGGGAGCAGGGTATTCCTTATTTGGTGGTCTTTTCGGGTATCCTGGGGGACCGTTAGTCCTGCCCCTCGAAAGGCGGGAAGGCTGGGCTGGGTTCAAAGTCCCCAGGTCAGTTCCTGGAACTGGGTGGTCCGGAGAATTCGGTCTGATGCAACCTGTGAATCTAATTGTGTTCCCCTTCCTCGGGCCAGTTGGCCTTACATCCCGACATCTTTGGTGTAATGGGGCGGCGTTCTGATCTCTGGCTACTTCATGCTCAATGGGGGCGTCGAAAGGGGAGTCGGGCGACCAGAGGTCCGAGGCTTAGGGGCGACCAGTGGGGGGTTCTGTAGGAAGCAAGGTGTAAGGACCGAGGAGCATTTGGGTTGTGGCCACCCGAGAGACTTCCTCCATGTGCCTGCGAAGGAACCTAAGAAAACAGGGAGCAAGCATGAACAAGACACAGATGAGAATTAAGGGGCCTAAGATTGGTGTTAGCCAGGTATAGAGGGTGGATCGCCACCAGTCGGGAATTGGGGAGGCGGACTGTTGGTGTTTGCGTTGGAGTTCTTCTCTTAAGCGATGGAGGGCTTTTACGTTGTCTTCGACGAGTCCTGTTTCATTGATGTAATAGCAGCATTCCTTCTGTAGGAAGAGGCAGGTACCTCCTTTGTCGGCCGTCAGGAGATCCAGGCGTCGTCGATTCTGGAGAGCGACTTGGGCTATGGAGGTGATTTGGTGCTGGAGAGAGGAGATGGAGCCGGCGGAGGCTTCAATGGCTAGCTGGAGTTTATGTTCTAAGTTGTGGGATGTTGAAACACTATGTGTTAGAGCTTCCCCCCACCCCGCCCCCGAGGCCTGCAGCGACCAGGGAGGAGGCGAGAGAGATGCCTGCGACCAGAGGAAGAAAGATAGCTCTTTTCCGTCGGGTAAAGGGCGGCGTGATTAGTGAGGAAAATTCGGCTTGGCTATACAGTGCGAGTTGTGGGACGAGAGGAACGGGGATACATGGGAAGGGGGAGGAAGAATTGATCTCTTTTGTGAGGGAACCATTGCACCACAAAAACATGCCTGGTGGTGCTTCAATTGATGTGCTTACCGTGAGGGATGAGTTGCAGAGAAACCCAGTATCAGCTAGATTTGGGCGGCTGCCGTAACAGATGGTGAGATTTTTTGAATCAAGGAATATGGGGACTTTTAACGGGGAAAAAGGTGGGTTTGGGGAGGTGTGGGAAGTAGAATTGAAGGGCTGGTCGAGTGGGACAGCAGCCAAGG